GGGAAGTACCATTAATTTAGAAAAAAAAAACCCCCAAAAAAAAAAAAACCCCCCCCCCCCCCCCCCTCACCTCGAACCCCTCCACCTCGAACCCCTCCACCTCTCGTCTTTCCCCAACATGCACAGACTCACAGACATACACACTTTCATGCGCAAATACACATTTTGACAGTTTGTCTCAACTCAAGCTCCGCTGACAATCCGTGCTGACGTTCTTTCCATAAAAACATTTTTCCCTCTTTAGCTGTTCTCCATCTGTGAAAGGCAGACAGGAGTGTGGGAGAATGTGATACTCACTGCTGGGCCAGGGGCTCCTTGGGGTCCTTCTAAAAGCATCCCCTGCAAAAGGAAGAAAAAGAAGGAGGGAATACAGTAGCATTAATGGCAGCCAGTAAATCAAGAGACAATTAAGAGTAAGGGGCACAGGAACTTTGCGTTCTTTTGGCTTAAGGCTAAAGAGTTTATTTGCTAAAGCCTCTGGACGGTAACAAAAACTGAAGCTATCTGATTTATTCGTTTAAACAAAAAGTGGTACAACCGCTATCACAGCCAATGCAAAACCATCTCAAGTCCTTCTTGGGGATTTGTACGTTTTTGTTACGTCTCACTATTGAGAATGATTGATAGAAGTAACACATTCAGATGAAGATTAACTGAATTCAAAAGGTGTCTAAACTAAGTACGAAAGCTTTATATTCCTGAGAAAAATCTGTCGAGGATCTGATTTCCTTTTATAGCCTTATACATTGTTGAGACGATTTAAATCCCATATACTGGAACTTTTGGCATCTCTCCTTCAATAAAAAATTAGCTTTGTGTCAACCGTATTTTCCTAAAGCATCAATACAGTTTCAGCTCAGTTTTTCAGCATGTGTACAAAGTTGATTGTTTAAAGGATATTTTCTTGTGATTTAAATTTGTGACAGGAATCTGCAACCAATTTCAAACCTGTCTAGCCCTGACCTATGACTACAAATGTGTTAAACTCAAGATGTGATCAAATTCAGCTCAGCAAATGTTCCGTACCTAATAGCAGACAGGTGGCGTAACTGCTATGGAATCTGTTAGTGAGGCAATATTTAAACTTCCCCTCTTTCACCATCAATGATGTGCTTAAAATTAAGTTAAAGGAAGCAAAATAGGAGTAACAAGCTATTTAAAATAAACATGTTTACCGTGGAGGCAGTTCAGCTTTTCATTCAAGTGGTTACTTTTAAATAGACTTTTCTGCAATAAACAGGAAGGCTTAATGAAAAGTGCAACATTTTTCTGTTAAATCCTCTTAATGTGTAATGAGACCTGTGGGGTCTGGAAATGTTGGAATCCTTTTGGAAAATGTCAGGATTTAGGTAAGGGTCTACATTATCTTTTTAGTAATGCTTGCTACAAAAAACAAAACAAAACAAAAAAAAAAACAAAGCTTAAAAAAAGATCAGAAATCAGACACAGAACTGTGGATGCACAGCAACACTAAACTGCTAAGTGTTATTGTCAGACTTTATTAGATGTTATCGGCTTTGTATTTATTTGGGATGGACTAGATAAGTATTGAACATTGAAGATAGAAATTTACCCAGAAGTTAATTGTCAAGTGTGTTTACCTTGTGGAAAACCTAAAATTATTTTTGACTTTGTAACAATTCCAAAAGAAATGAAATAAATAAAAATACATAAATAAATCTCAATAATATACAAATTGAGAAAAAATAATCGTCATAAATGTAATTAGTGTAACAAAATCATATTAATTAGAGACCTACATCAATACTCCAAATTGTAAAATTAGTTCTTATGTATAATATCTGGGGTTATTTTATCTAACAAGGCAATGAAAGCCTTTGTTTCCACAATTCCAGAACAAACTTCCAGAGAACTGAAAAACTGCCGAAACATTTCCAATCACGTAAAAGCCTACCTATTTAGAGTTGCTTTTCAACTGTAATAAATGAAACATTGATCAACGTTTTGATTTGTATGATTATGGCGATTACATCAAAATGTAACGTTTGTTCAAATGTTGACTGTATGGTGCTTTCTCTATAAATTTGCAATTTTGTGGTTTTGTTATGTAAAGCACTTTGAACCGCCTTGCTGTTGAAATTTGCTATACAAATAAGTTTGATTGACTGATTTTTTTTTCAGCATTATCTATCCACCAGTCTGCATTTAGTCTCCATGGAAACCAACTGCTGTGTGTGGCAGCAGTCTACACCACATTACTGGTTTTAGGTATTAGCTCAGACTTCATTATAATACAACATCAGCATATCATGGAGCATGTTTAATCTTGAGCAGGCTTCATAAAGCTTTTATCCATTCAGTCCATCACTTGTAGTTAAAGCTCTTACACAAAACACTTATATCTAATAAACACAAAGATGTCTGTTGGATAGCCCATTTTTTTCTGCCTCCCATCGATGCAGATTAGATGTGGCTCTTGCTCTTTGCTCTGATCTGTAAACTATTATTGCACAGTCAAAAGCACACATTAATACGAAATAAATACATACTAAAAGTTAAAATGGTCTTGGAGAAGCGCTCCCTCATTGCACATTATTTTCATAGTTCTACACTCATAAAACTCCCAGGGTGAAATATATCAGAAAAAGCCGCCAGCATTTTGTAATTATGAACAAAACCACAGCAGAGGCATTCCACCACAACTAACTTATGGCTTAACTTCAGTGTTGTCTTCGACTTCAGAGCGACTCGTCCGATGTGTGTTAATAGTGAGGACTGAGCAGCAAAAGCAGCACATCCCAGTGAGTTTTCATCAGCTGGTCTCACTGACAGTTTTTTATTGCTACATTAGAACCTAGAGTTGCACAATCAGCATAACATAAAACATGCTGATCATTGTGGCACTGCTGATGCCTCACTTAACCACACTTTTGCCTCATACATGCTTTCATGGCTTCCTCAGAGAACCGCAGACAATGTCAAAGACCTGCCTTAAAAACCTTTTGTGAAAAGGTTGTGTGAATGATGCTCATTCACACAAACTGAACTATTTTTTTAATATATATATATATATTTTTTTTTTGACATTTTTGCATGAAATGCATTCCTAACAGATAAAGTCCAGGTGGATTCACCTGCCCAATCATATCCAGGTTTTGGAATGCTCACCAATTTTTTAACAGCTGTTTGAGTCATGCTGACTAAATGTGTATTGGACAGATTGTGCAAATTTGGGAAAATGCAGGCTAAAATGTTCTAAATTTGGCCTTGGCTGATCTAATTGTAATGACTTTATTCTAGTGAATGCACCAGGTAAGGCAGTCAGACATGGACTAATGGGCATGAGCAGATTCGAAGGAGGTTTCCATCTGCAACAAGGACAGCTTGTTTCACGTCATTTAAATCGGAGCGATTATAAACACAAATCATTTCCAACGTCTATTTTTTGATCATAGACGTCACAAACTTGAACAAAAGCATGAAGGAACATTTGAGATATACTTACAGGTTCAATGACTGCAGGTTCACCCTTCTCTCCTTTTTGTCCCAAGTAATTGTGTCCCCCACTCACCTGAAGATGTAGAACAAGTAATATGAATCCTTAAAGCCATAATAACACAATTACATTTACAGCAAAAAATAAGTGTGTTTAATGGAGTTTAATAAGTAACACAGATTTTTTTTCCCTATTTAAAAAATGAATTTAAGTTCCTTAATTCTGGAGAAACTTGGTATGTCTCTTTATTGGCATCTATATATTCTGTATTTTTTTAAAAAATAGTGTATAAAAGAAGAAGGACTCCAACTGTGCACTAATATAGGAGTTGCTACATGACATCACACATACAAAGACTTCAGAAGAAAAAAAAAATCATGAATGGACCACAGTTCTGAGCCCAAACCTTAACACAGTCAGAGCACATGCAGGACAAAGAAAACAATTTAAATGTGTCCCAAGCTGAAGGATCCCAGCTCAAAGCTCAGATAAAGACCATGTCACTTCCTGATTCTGCTAATTTGGATCTTCAGTGACTGAAAGAATAAACACCAGCTCAGCAGCTTTTCACAGAATGCAAAATGCAGCTTTGGTGGAGACAAAGAAAAACCTAACAACTGCCAAGAACTGTATCATTAGATAAAGCACACAGATTAGCGCTAGAGTATCCAGGGAAAGACATGAGTCTGATAAACAACAGAGGCCTCTTTGTGGAGAGGTTACAAAGAGCATGCTAATTGCTGACAGGTGTTTATCTGGAAAAGACAAGGTCTGTATTTGTAGAAGCTTAAGTATATTTGAACTTCTGACTTGTGGGTGTAAAATGCTGAGCTTAAATCACTGAAAATGACAAATAACAGAAGCTGCACCTAACAAGTTAATAGAACATCTGTTGGTGACCAAGACTGACCAATTGTTAGTCTAAACTTGTGATCTCTCTCCAGTCAGTGAACACACCATACTAAGCTCTACCAGACTATAAGAACATCACTTTTAGGTGTGACTGACTTTCTTAAGACTTGAAGCTGTCAGTATTAGCTAGGTTTCTAAGAATAAATTCAAAGGAAACGTAGGCATGAAATATGAAACTGAATTTTTATGAATATGAGTCACACAGGCTGTAAAAGCGAGAGGAAGCCAGACTTTTAGAAGCAGGTATGTGAACTCCATTTTAGTTTTAGTTATTTCATTTCTTTTTTTTCAATATTGTACGTCACTAGAGGCCTTTGCCGACAGACTGACATGCAGAAAAGGTCACACCCTCAGAAACTAAACCCATGATAGTCGCATTTAGCCTCTGTATACTCCAGCACCACAACATGCACAGACTATAAAGCCTTATTTTTGTCAGATTTATGCAGGTCCTGTTGATCAATATTTTAATCAAACTGATAAAAAAAACAACCAAACACATAACCACATATATCTGTCGCCGATTCTGCTCTGACGGATGGTTTAATTTCACAAATGATTGTTCACACAACCTTGGTGTGTACAATATTATTGTTTTCTGTTCTTTTTTTCTGACTTTATGGAAAACCAAAATCAACAGCTTTGTTTACATGTGAAAAATATTCCGACTGAAGCCTATTTAAAGTAAATAATCTGAATGCATCAGTTATACAGGCACAAAATGAATTAATTAAACATGCACTGGAATAGAAGCACTGACTTGCCAAGTGTTGTAAAAAAAAACAAAAAAAACTAAAACACACAGAAGTTGTGTCACTGTCTGTGCTGAACATAAAAACAAACAAATGTTTTTTTTTTTTGTTCTGTGTCTTCTGAGCGCCAAGAACGGACCGGCGCCATGTTCTAATAACAGTTGAGATGTAGCTGAACTCCCTAATTAAGCTGCAGGCTAAGCAGTTTTCTGCTGGTCTTCCTACATTACAGGACGAGACACCAACAGACCAGTTTTGCTACCCGAATATGGAACACACATGCACAGTCAGGTCAGGTTGCCACAATAGGAATGTTGAAATCAGAACAAGTGCTTCTATCCACGCTGCACAAATTATCAAGCAGCATAAACCAATTCTGATTCGGACTGCCAATTTATTTGGATAGAGCTGAATCTGATCAGAATATTCTGATTCACATGACTCAGTTGCCTATATATAGATATTACAAGGTCACATTTTTACAAAAACAGGGGATCAGAAACTAGACGCAATTCACATCATCAGCACATTTGTACAAACACTTCTGGCTTTTTCCATATTAAGTCAGGTTGTTAATCGTAAACCACTTACGCTGAAATCTGTCTCTGCTGGAACACCGGGACCGATCTCATCCTCGTACACTTCGGGGGTCGGCTTTGCATTGGTGGTACCATAATCGTCGTAATCCACATAAGTGCCGTAGTCGTAGGGTTTCTCCACAAACTCTTTGGTATCATATTCCTTCATGTCGTATTCCTTAAACTCTTTCACATCCGTTTCAGGTTGCGCCTTCACTGGTGGGTCCACTGGATCAGAACTTTCCACAGCAACAGTGGGGTCCACTCCGACCTCATCCACACCGGTGACATAATCCTCCTCTATTTCGGCATCGTAAGTCTGGGATCGGAGGCGGGGAGGCATGGAGGATTTGTTAGTGCAAAAAGTAAATATTTTTTGCAGGTTTACTGGGTGCCACAGTAAGGAAACACCAGTAATGAACGAGTCAAACAGCTTCATTATTTCAGACAAAAGTTGCTTTCTGCAGTCACTTCGGGTTTATTTCTGTAGATTACTTGTAGATTCCCTCTCGATATCACATGGGTCCCAACCCCACTTTATGAATAATGACATGTTTGTTAAATGGATAACTCTGAAGCAAGTCAAAGAAAAATAAAGTAGTAGAGTCACCTGGCTTTGTCTGGAAGTCTCTGTCGGAGGATCAGGCTGACTCCCTTCCACCACGGTGTAGTCATACTCGTTAGTGGAATATTCTCCACCAGCATTTGTCTAAAAGAAGAAAAAATAAAGTCAAAGGTGAGGGAAATAGCTGCTCAAAAGGTTACAGAATATCCCTTCCCGCCAGGTAAAAAGGAGCAACTTTAAGCATATTATTTTTTACAACGATGTTTAGGGTGGCATGCAGAAGAAAAACAACGACCCAAAAATGCAATAAACTATGCAATCAATAGTTAGAAACCAAAAGGAACCCAGTGAAGAATTTAAATGATCAAAATACTAAGAACTAAACAACTAATCATGACTACAATAATCAGGATTTACCTCAGCCTTTGCTCTTGATGTAGGCGGAGCGTCAGTGGTTACCTCCCCTTCACCGTAGTCATAAAATTCACCGTAGTCGTAGACTGGGTACTGTAAGAACCAAGATATGATGTTACAGCATGTAAGCAAAAACCATAATATGCATAAGATTCTGTTTTCTAAGCAGTCTAGTCCTCATGTTTAAACAAGATAAAGTAAATATATACGCTGTCATCATGCCAATTAAAGAACAAGGGGCCAAATTTTAAATCGATATAAAAAAATAACCAAAAAAATATCTGTTTTCTGTATGCATGAGTGTGTTTCCCAATTTTCCAAATCATTCTGATCTTTAGGTCATGAAAAAGAGCTCAAACAAAGCCTGCAACAATTTTCTGCTGTTGCTGCTTAATGTTGTCCACAAAAAACACTTGTAATTGTCATTAATGGCTCTTTAAAAGACTTGAACTGTATATCATATTTATTGAAGTACTAATACATGGAGTCATAGCTATTTTTATAGTTAGAGCAATAAAAAATGAAGATGTAATAAAAGGCTCACTGTGTAATATTAATTCAGTGAAAAATAATAAATCCATGAAAATATCAATATAAAGCGTGGAGCTGCTCAGAAATGAACAGGAATGCTTTTAGATTGTAGGAAGAAGATAACGTACCCTTAGAGAACCTGCACAGTGATTTCACCTCCATGCAGAAAAGCCTAGTTTGAAAATTGGACCTAAGACCTTCCTGCTGCAAAGGCAGCATTTGAGACGACAGTTAGTCATTACTGAGGGAAAAAATGCAATTAAGTACGACAACTTTCAAATTCTGAATTTAGGGAGCGTTCTTTTTGTACTTTTGACTTCTTTCAAAAGACACATACTGTTGTAATTTTTGTTTTTGTTAACCTTTTGATGAAAAACAAACTAATGGCTGGAGTCCAGTACCCTTTTAGCCTCTGCAGTCTTCAGCATGGCATGTCCAGTGTGTTTCCTTCGCTACACTGATTTAAGTGTCTCTACCTCAAAAATACATAGACACACATAGACACATATCTGAGTTGTTTTTTTAGCAAACACCCACTGGTCCGACTAGCTCTGCCAGAAGCACAGAGGACCAACACGTAATGATGTAAAACATCTTCCTTGGTCCTTTGTGAAGAGAGGTTTATTGTCTTAGCATTATCCAAACAGAGGCAAGGTAGATCATAATAACAGAGCAGCCCCTGATATGCAATACCCAATCAGCAAAGGGATAAATATTAGTCTCTAAGTAGGTGCTAAGCTCATAAAAATAATACAAGTTCCAACGTTGGCCTCAGTTGTGCGGTCTGGAGGTGGAAAGGTCACATAAAAGAAGTCCTGGCCTTAGCATCCAGACAGGCTCAGAGGGAAACAAAGAGTATTTATTTATGGTGTTGAAGTACTTGGATTAAGCTGAGTGGATTCACAATAGGGCGGATTGAAAATCATAAATAGATGCGTTTTCTCATAGAAAGGTGGCTCTAACTTTCTCTTCCTCCTTTGGCCCAACAGCTGATACTGCATGGTGATGCAAGTCAGCAAGCTTCACGAGATCAAACATCTTCAAAAGAAGTTTCTTTTTTCCACAATTACTTTGAATTGCTTCAGGCTCTTTCATTGCAAAAAACTACATTGTGGAATTTGTTTTTTTTAGCTTATTGAGAGTCAGCAAGTTTAACAAACTGAGCTGGAATGTAGGAAGAACATTCCTGTCTTAACTGTAGAGAATACGCCAATAAATAAACCAGATTTACAATGTCCTTGAAGCCAAACTGCTCCCTGCTGTCTATTTGGAATTGACAACCTCCTTATGTTGGCTCAGAAAAGTAACTTGATGATGAAGCAATATTTTCCAGCGCTGGTACCCTCTATTCTGCCAATAGTTTTGAATAAAGAACAGGCTTCTCTTCTTTTTTGTTTTGAACCAAAAGTCTGCTTTTCCAGGTATTGGAAGTAGTCGGGGAAGGAAAAGCTTAAATTTCCCTGTGAGTCTGGGCAGAGCCTGCTGAACTCGTTAGTGATATAAATCTCGGGGCCACTCCAAAGTGGGCTAAGACTTGGAGACAGGAAAAAATAACAAGTTTCCAAAATGAGTTCATCAGTTATTTAATGCAAAACTGAAGGAAAATATCAACCATAAGATAAAACTGTAAAAGAGCACAGAGCGTAAAGATGAAAAGAAACTGAAGCCTTTACACAAATCTGCCTAAAAGACTCTGAGGGATGTTTTGGAGACAGTACCAAATAAAACTTTCATTTCAAACCCAGGCATGTATTTCGATATGTCATTGTTTTTCCACCAATAAAACACAGACTGGAGAAAAAGACAGATTTGACAGTTTCCCTCAAGCTTTTCTCAAGTTTTCTGTCTAGAGCTGCAGGATTTTTGACATGCCACAAATTGAAGGAAACACGTGCAAATGGTTGAAACGCCATCTAGTTTAAGTTTGTTTCTTTCCAATCATCTGCAAACCCCCCCCCCCCAAAAAAAAAAAAAAAACAAAAAAAAAAAAAAAAAAAAAAAAAAAAAAAAAAAAAATTTTAAAATTCAAGGAAAAATACG